ATATATATATGTATGTGTATATATATATATGGTTTTAAATTAATTTCATTAATAGACTGAAATACAACAACCAAAATAAAAAAGAATTAAATTAAGACTTGCTCGCCGTAACCAGTTTGGCTCAGTGGATAGAGCGTCGGCCTGCGGACTGAAGGGTCCCAGGTTCGATTCCGGTCAAGGGCATGTACCTTGGTTGCGGGCACATCTCCAGTAGGGAGTGTGCAGGAGGCAGCTGATCGATGTTTCTAACTCTCTATCTCTCTCCCTTCCTTTCTGTAAAAAATCAATAAAATATATTAAAAACATAAAAATAAAAAAAAATAAAAAAAGACTTGCTAATTCTTTAGGTGCTGAACAGGATTACAAAATAAAAATGTCATTACTTTTATTCCAAAAGAATGCAATTAGATGATAACTTATAACTTTTTAGAGAGAATCCAAACATAATTTGATTTAGACTATCAGTTGATACTCTATTTTCAGTTATGTCCCTTTTACTTCAGTTAGGAGTTGAAGATCTAAAGAGATATATATCTCCTTTAAAGCTAATGAAAATCACACAATCATGTATCTACTGGTCTTTATATCAACATTTATAAAAACACTGTTAAAACCATTCATACTTTTAAGCAAAATAAACCAAACAAAAACCCGTTTATTTGAAACTGGAAAGAATAAAGGAGGTTTTGGCTCTCCTCTCTTATTTATAAAAATGGAAAAGCCACAATCAAGGACATTAAAGGAAAACTTTGGTTTTAAAAAAATGATATAGGGCAGAAAACAGATAATAAATAGAATGTTTGCTGAGAAGCCCATTAGAAATTTCCTCTGCCCTGACCAGGTAGCTCAGTTGGTTAGGGCATCATTCCAGTACGCCAAGGGTGTGGGTTCGATCCCGAGTCAGGGCACATATAAGAATCAACCAATGAACGCATGGAAGTGGAACAGCAAAGCACTCTTCCCTGTTTATTTCCTTCCTTCCTTCCTTTCTTCCTTCCCTCCTTCCCTCCCTTTTCCCTTCCTTTCTTTCCTTTTTTTCTTCTCTCTCTAAAATCAATCAATAAATTAAAAAAAATTTTTTTAAACTTCATCAATCCTGATTTGCAGTATCAGCTCCATGTCAGTTTTCTGGTATACTGTATTTATTATTAAAAAGAATGTAGCTATTCATATTTTAATATTTGATTGCTATAAAATATATTAAATTTACAAAAAATGTCACATGAACTATGTTTCTGGCTTCATATGTCATCAAATAGCATCAAAATTCTATCTTGGAATGACAAAAATTCTATACATATTATAGAACTTTCCTTATGGAAAGTACTTTTAAAACGATATACCCCATTCTTACGCAAATAATTGAGTAGTATAGAAATGCTGCTGAAATCTTTTATCAGTCTGCATAACAGACCATTAGTCACAAAAGCAGTGAGTTGTTAAAAATTATGGCACAAAGCAAACACAAATAACCACAAAATGAAAGTTGATAAGTCATCCAACTACAAGAACAAGTCATATATGGCAATGAAAGTATTGCTGCCCAAAGGCAATGCAGTTGAGAATTCGTTACAAGTAGGTTATGGAATCTGAATCTGAATCTAAGTATGTAGAGAATAACAAGATTATTGTAGTGGTGCGTTATACACTGTTTGAAGTAGTTGTTCAGTAAGTTGTTCAGTTTTTATATAAACATTTCATGCATTCATTCAACAAATATTGACTGAGGGACTACAATGTGCCAGGCATTACTCTATGTGCTGGAGATGATTCAGTAAATAAAACCATTAATTCTTTAAAGTTACAAAGTCATTTTCAGAATTGTCTAATTAGCAGAGAAATGTTTTATTGTCCTAGTAAATGCATGACACGTCATATATCATGACTCAGTATATTCTCTTGAGTCATAATGTACTGTGACAATAAACCTGCAGATATTTAACTTGGCTATACTGTAAGCAGTCTTGCTACAACATGAAAAATGATGGAAGAAATGCAAACCACAAACATTATCTAATTCAACAAAGTCCTCTTCTAGAAAGCCAAACTTAATAATTAAAGATCACCATCAATACAGAATGAAATGAGGATGAGAACTACAACTAGACTAGGTGTACATCCTCAATGACATAAACACAGACTGCAATTGATACCTTTGGTTGAAGTCTTGCACACAACAGAATTCTGCTTAAAAGGCAAATTAAATTTTTTAAAAAGAGGAAATTTTATCTTGCCATTTAAAAGAAGTTAAACTCTTTGCAGTCTTCCTTGACTGGATCAAAAAATTTAACTCCTGGTCATCATTTCTAAGTAAAATGCCAAATACTTTACCAGAAATCACATAACAAAATAATTTTACATAAAGGTCTATACAACGGAAGGACATCAATTGCAGTTGGGTTTATTTTTTGCTTACAAAGCCCCCCAAAAAGGCTGTCAGCACAAAACAAACCCTCCTTTATGTACAGACCTTCACAAGGTTCTATCTCCTTGACTCCATTGTCTAGGAAAAACAAAATAAAAACAAAACAAAGAAGGGAACCAAAGCACAGGGGTTAAAAACAACAGAAATTTCCAAAGGTACAGAATGTATCATCAATTAAAGAAAAGTAAAATGGTGACTTAATTTTTTTTTGTACAGCGCATCCAGTTACCATATAAAGGGACCATTTAAAAAATAACAATAAAAATTATTATATTCTATCTTCCCATGCTTTTAGAGGTCCTTTAACCAAGAATTTATAGATTGGGGAGGAGGGGTATGTTTACCTGTGTGTGAGCAAATAATGCTTCTTAGGCAAAAATTTGAAAGTATTAAAAAATACGTATTAAAAATATCAGTACAACATGCATCTTTCTTTGCATATTCATGATTACCTTTTTCTGGTACTCCAGTTTTGAGAAGGATCACCATTGTTGTGCATCAGCTAACCAGTCCTTTGCAGTATGTGAAAATTGATTTGGCTAGTTACTAATAAACTTTATGTAACTATCAACAATTACATAAACTTAGCTGTAGCAAAGATATATCATCTAACTGCTTGTTAAACAAGAGCATTACATTTACTTCTTAAAATGCATTAATTCAAATTTGTAAAATGTGCCAGAGCAATAATAGTAGGTTATTTTATCTGCAAATAGTACACATTTTAAATGAAAAATATATATGTAATTACTAGCAAATGCAGCTAAGGCATTCAATTAACCAAAGAAGAAAACAAGGAAGGTATGGAATGACAAAAATTCTATACATATTATAGAACTTTCCTTATGGAAAGTACTTTTAAAACGATATACCCCATTCTTACGCAAATAATTGAGTAGTATAGAAATGCTGCTGAAATCTTTTATCAGTCTGCATAACAGACCATTAGTCACAAAAGCAGTGAGTTGTTAAAAATTATGGCACAAAGCAAACACAAATAACCACAAAATGAAAGTTGATAAGTCATCCAACTACAAGAACAAGTCATATATGGCAATGAAAGTATTGCTGCCCAAAGGCAATGCAGTTGAGAATTTGTTACAAGTAGGTTATGGAATCTGAATCTGAATCTAAGTATGTAGAGAATAACAAGATTATTGTAGTGGTGCGTTATACACTGTTTGAAGTAGTTGTTCAGTAAGTTGTTCAGTTTTTATATAAACATTTCATGCATTCATTCAACAAATATTGACTGAGGGACTACAATGTGCCAGGCATTACTCTATGTGCTGGAGATGATTCAGTAAATAAAACCATTAATTCTTTAAAGTTACAAAGTCATTTTCAGAATTGTCTAATTAGCAGAGAAATGTTTTATTGTCCTAGTAAATGCATGACACGTCATATATCATGACTCAGTATATTCTCTTGAGTCATAATGTACTGTGACAATAAACCTGCAGATATTTAACTTGGCTATACTGTAAGCAGTCTTGCTACAACATGAAAAATGATGGAAGAAATGCAAACCACAAACATTATCTAATTCAACAAAGTCCTCTTCTAGAAAGCCAAACTTAATAATTAAAGATCACCATCAATACAGAATGAAATGAGGATGAGAACTACAACTAGACTAGGTGTACATCCTCAATGACATAAACACAGACTGCAATTGATACCTTTGGTTGAAGTCTTGCACACAACAGAATTCTGCTTAAAAGGCAAATTAAATTTTTTAAAAAGAGGAAATTTTATCTTGCCATTTAAAAGAAGTTAAACTCTTTGCAGTCTTCCTTGACTGGATCAAAAAATTTAACTCCTGGTCATCATTTCTAAGTAAAATGCCAAATACTTTACCAGAAATCACATAACAAAATAATTTTACATAAAGGTCTATACAACGGAAGGACATCAATTGCAGTTGGGTTTATTTTTTGCTTACAAAGCCCCCCAAAAAGGCTGTCAGCACAAAACAAACCCTCCTTTATGTACAGACCTTCACAAGGTTCTATCTCCTTGACTCCATTGTCTAGGAAAAACAAAATAAAAACAAAACAAAGAAGGGAACCAAAGCACAGGGGTTAAAAACAACAGAAATTTCCAAAGGTACAGAATGTATCATCAATTAAAGAAAAGTAAAATGGTGACTTAATTTTTTTTTGTACAGCGCATCCAGTTACCATATAAAGGGACCATTTAAAAAATAACAATAAAAATTATTATATTCTATCTTCCCATGCTTTTAGAGGTCCTTTAACCAAGAATTTATAGATTGGGGAGGAGGGGTATGTTTACCTGTGTGTGAGCAAATAATGCTTCTTAGGCAAAAATTTGAAAGTATTAAAAAATACGTATTAAAAATATCAGTACAACATGCATCTTTCTTTGCATATTCATGATTACCTTTTTCTGGTACTCCAGTTTTGAGAAGGATCACCATTGTTGTGCATCAGCTAACCAGTCCTTTGCAGTATGTGAAAATTGATTTGGCTAGTTACTAATAAACTTTATGTAACTATCAACAATTACATAAACTTAGCTGTAGCAAAGATATATCATCTAACTGCTTGTTAAACAAGAGCATTACATTTACTTCTTAAAATGCATTAATTCAAATTTGTAAAATGTGCCAGAGCAATAATAGTAGGTTATTTTATCTGCAAATAGTACACATTTTAAATGAAAAATATATATGTAATTACTAGCAAATGCAGCTAAGGCATTCAATTAACCAAAGAAGAAAACTAAGGAAGGTAGAACAAAAAAAATCTTGATTCACCTTAGCTTCCATGTGCATTTCCTATATGACACAATTAGAAATAAAACTTACTTCTCTCCAGGGTTCCCTTTGGTGGAAGTTGTGGAAGTTGCCGGCCCCTTCGTCCTGCCACTGGAGTGCTTGATGGGCTTGTTTGGACAGACCCAGTACGAGGATGAGACCTACGAAATACACATTAATATTCACTTTCAATATAATGAGTCAAATACTTTTCATACATTTGCTTCACATGATAGCTGTATAAATGCAATTTTAAAAGAGGTTTAGCTGCTGATTAAAAGGTTAGGAAAGTAAGACACAATATGGAAATTGGAATGATTATCTAAACAGCCAAAGATGTTTAAACTTTTGTGTTATATGCGTACATACACAGATACATGCACGGAGAATCCTACAGTAAAAGCCATGGGATTATTCATGTAAATTCATACAAAAGTAAGAGGAGAATTCTGCAGCTCAGAATAATAAAAGGTAATGTCTTACATTTCTTTCTACCAGATTTCAAACTCTTCACTCTAACCTCTCTCCCTTGATCCAAAGAGCTTTTTACTCAGGCTTCTAATAGATAACACTTCATTAGAAAATATCTGATGAAACTACAAATAAAACCCTGCACAACTCAACATTCAGCTAAAGAAGGTAATGGGTAATACATGATATTAGTATTGATAGAAAGAAACTAAAAAATCTAGTTTTGTCACTATGATGACTATTCCAACAGTGATGTCTAATGAAGACAAACAATTTCTCATTGTGTAGGAGGACATGGTAGTCATGAGGTGCGTCATGTGGGGATTTACCCAGGACTACTGATAAATGAGATATCACAAAACAAATGCAGTCAGGACAGTTCAACGTTTTACAATGGTAGCCACACACTATTATATCCACTGAATATAAATAGTGTGCTTACACTGAAAAGGTTAGTATTGATTGCTATTAGTGATCAGCCAAGGATGATAGAAGAGACCAGTTAGCGGCTGGGAAAATAAAATGGTGTGCTGGTGGGGCAAAGGGGAAGTTAGTCTGATGGATTGATCTTTCACCTCGATAAGGCAGGTGAGGGAGGGGCAGATCTTCCGGTCATTAATGAAGGCATCGACCTCATGAGGTTTGTGTCGGGACGCTCAGTGGATCTGGAGCGGGCGGTGGTCCGCTCTAGGACGGGCCGCTGTTCTGTTGATCTGGATCTGTGATAGGGCTGTCTATCTGCTGCTTCACAATCCCTGAAACGTTAGTCAAAAAGCAGCTCAGTCGATCTTTAGTGTCTTTCTGCTATTTGGTTACGATGCATCAAATTGATTTTGAAAAAAAAAAAAAGTAATTGTTTAAAATCACTGCGTATGTAAGAAAAAAAATTCTCTTCCCCAACATACTCTGAGCCAATTCTCACTAAATTTTTAAGATTTCCGAAGGAACCCAAATCTGCCTTAAATAGCAATTCCCAGTGAAGATAAACAGGAGTTGGTCAGTTATGTTCAAAGACAAACAAAACTGCCTGCTTTGCGAAGCGAATTCCCTTTGGAATATGTGAAATATGGAAAGTATTCTACTTTAAAAGAATTCAATAAATTTTTCTAACATTTTCAAAAGAGTGGGGGGAAACCATATAAGCACTATTCTCAGTAAACCCCTAAGCCTGTTTATCACACCAAATAAGATATGAAAAGATTTTCAACACAATCATAGTGTACTGATACACCTGAACATTCAAATAGAAGGATCCAGATGTTCTAAGAAAACAGAGCTCCTTTGCAGTCTGTGCCATATTTAACCATGGTCTACAAGAAAAACCACTGGATAGAAAACTGGTGAATCAGCCAATCTCTGACATCTATCTCAGTGCAATTCAGTGATGCCAACCAATACAATTCAGAATGGGTATGAACTGACTGAAATAATAATGGTTCTGAAACAATGTGATCACTTTGACCACAAATAAATCAACATCAAGTCCTGATCCTTGCTGAGAGGAATCTACCATTGTTGATTTCTTTTTTTAGCCCTGGAGTCTATCATAATGCTTTTATATCTAACATGTGGCCAATGAATGTTTTCTAATGCAAATCCCATTTTCAGTGAGCCAACCCTAAAAATACTAACTTTGACTCTAGAACTCTAAATAATACATAATCTAAAATACACTGCAAATCAAACTATTACCTCCTCATCTAGTTGTAACCACAGAAATGGTAATGCTTATATATCATAAACTAGAGGCCCAATGCACGAAGACTCGTGCAAGAATGGGCGTTCCTTCCCCTGGCTGCCAGCACCGCCTTCACTCGGGCCCGGAGCTGCCTTCCCGCCTTCCCATGCTACTCAGAGGCCCTGAGAGGCTGGGGCGGTGCAGAATGCCAGCGTCATTGCCATGGCGACGACGCAAGTGTCCTGTCCCCCGACCACTGAGCACCTGCGTACGCAAATTAACCCACCATCTTTGTTGGGTTAATTTGCATACTCACTCTTGATTGGCTGGTGGGCAGCACAAAGGTACAATTTGCATCTTTCTCTTTTATTAGTGTAGATGGAAAAGCAAGAATTAGTCTCCCTCATGACCAATGTATCAAGGATGTCCACTTTACCTATAAATTCTCTCAGTCTTCTTTTTTGTAAAGAAATGCAAACAATTTAAAATTAAATAAGAAAGAACACAATTTCCCATACGTAATTAATTATATGGCATACAATTTCAGATCAATAGATTAAATAACATTGTAGGAAGTGAATACTGGGTTTATTCTACAATGTATCTTATCATTATCTGACACTTTTATTCAAGGGTAATATATAAGTCAAATAGTTTTTAAATATTTTGAAGTCCATGTACCATAATATGATTTTTATTTCCTACATATTTTTATATGTGTATCCAGAAAATGCCAAAAAGCTGAGATTAAAAACATATACAATATTCAATTACTTGTCAAAAAGAGGGAAAAAGGCAACATGGTAGTTTAAAAACTCATAATTCTATTTTTATTCTTAAAAATAACTATTTTAGAGAAAACACTTCTTTTAGAAATAAATATGCTCAATAATTTGTTAGATTATTGGTGTACATACCTATGAATATATTTATCACAATAGATAACCAGAATCAAAGGGATATACATTCTTAGATTCCTTAAAAACCTATTTTTAGACAGTATCAATATTTATATTATTTTCACATTTCCTAAGTTAATAATTGAACTATCTCATTATAAAACATATAGTAACAAAACTTAGTGGAATATCTATGACTACCCAAACAGAAATTCAGGCTATTTAATTTATTCATACAAAATTTGATTTATTCTGATTCTATCAAGCAATTTTTCCAAGTGAAAAGTGAAATGTTAAGATATATACACTTCACTTCTTTGACACTATATTTTTAATAACTGGAATATATCATTGTGAGTGAAATCCAGGGAATCATTTGAATTGTGTTGCTATGTTCTTTGTCCTTTAAATGGTTCTGCTATTTATAAAGCAAACGGGTCACTCCTTAGGAAATATCCCTTAAAAATATATCTGTTTAGTGAAAAAGTTGTTTGAAGACTATAATCAGTTTTAAATTTTACTTACATTGTCTCTTCATTTCATAAATAATATAAATTATATGATTTCCATTGTGTGAAATGGAAAATCTGTTAAAAAGTAAAACATGAAAAGAACCACAGATGTAGGCAGAGATTCCTGAAATGCTCCACCACAGTAAGTGGAATGGAAAGCTGCCATATTTTAAATTTTGATTACACAACAGAAGGTCAAGGTAACTTCTGCTCCCACGCTAGGTCTTATTAGATAAGAACTCAGTAATTGCTGAGAGCATCGAAAGCAGCCAAGCCTAAGTCTCATGAAACGCCCAGTCTCATAGCAGGTTTTTTAGGTGACTGAAATTTAAAGCTTGACAACCTACACTTAGTCAATTTTCATTTTAAGATAACATAAATAATTAATTCTGAATACAGAGTAGCAACTGAGATGTGGGAAATAATGGAAAACCATTTACAATGCATAAAACATTTTAGTGCCTATTTGGGTTTCTTAACTTTGGGTCTGTATTTCAATGTAAGTAATTTCCTTTGCAACCCTACTTGTGTGCTTTATTTTACTTTATGCATTTTATAGATTTTTATTTTTATTGATTTTAGAGAGGAAGGGAGAGGGAGAGAGAGACAGAAACATCAATGATGAGAGAGAATCATTGACTGACTCTCTCCTGCACGTCCCCTACTAGGGATCGAGCCTGCAACCTGGGCATGTGCCCTTGACCAGAATCGAACTGGGACCTTTCAGTCCACAGGCTGATGCTCTATCCATTGAGCCAAACCGGCTAGGGCTTACTTTATGCATTTTAAAACATTATTCAAAAAAGGTGGCCATAGGTTTTACAAGATTGCCAAAGGTTTAGAACCACATAAAAATTTAAATCTTTCTTAGGTAAATAATTTGTTGTCTTTCAGAAAGTGATTTAATATATGTTATGGTTCTATCCTTTAAATAAATTGGTTATATTTTCTAATATATGTTTTAAATAGTTCACTTTTTATACATGTCATTTACCTGGATAGATTGCTGCTCTGCCCTATGTAGTGGTTGCTATTCCAAAATGCAAGCATTTGGAGAGGACACAGTTGAATAGCCCTCTGTACACAGAGCTAACTCACATTGACTGACAGTATTGTAACAAGAGCCAGTAATTGTTACACCCAGCTTTGAAAGCATATACTAGCACACGATGCTATTGAGATGAGGATTTCTAAAGAAAAAATTATTTTATAATCATCCAGTGAAATTGCCATTTTCAGTCATTTTTCCTCTCAGTATAGTTGCTCTTAAAAGATTTTTTTTTTTAAAAATTCCAGGTATCTGCCACAGCTTCCTGCTTATTTCACCAGTTTTGCTACTTATTTATCCTATTTTAAATCAAGTACAAGGAATTTATGCAGTATAGTAGGAAGAATAGGCCACAGAACATTCTTTCCATAACCACTAATATCAACCATCACAATGATACAACTCCAAATCAACATAAGCTCAATGCAGAGTATCTCTCTCGATATGATAGAATATGAATACTACTCAAAAATTTAAAACAACCAGTACAATGCAAAGTTTCAAAGTAATAACTCAGATATGTCAGTGAAAATTGTCCTAAAATATAACTCAGACCCTTGCAGTCTATGCTTAAATCAGTCTTATTTCATGTTTATATTGTAAAGATGCCCTAGTAAACCTAACAGGATTTCTTAAAAAATAAACCTTGTAAAAAAGTAAAGCTGTTTGCCCTAGCTGGTTTGGCTCAGTGGATAGAGCGTCGGCCTGTGGACTAAAGGGTCCCAGGCTCGATTCCAGCCAAGGACACATGCCTGGTTTGTGGGCTCAATCCCCCCCACCCCCCGTAGGGGGCGGGCAGGAGGCAGCCAATCAATGATTCTCTCTCATCACTGATGTTTCTATCTCTCTATCCCTCTCCCTTCCTCTCTGAAATCAATAAAAATATATATATTTTTTAAAAGTAAAGCGTCGATTCCGGTCAAGGGCATGTACCTGGGTTGCGGGCACATCCCCAGTAGGAGATGTGCAGGAGGCAGCTGATCGGTGTTTCTCTCTCATCGATGTTTCTAGCTCTCTATCTCTCTCCCTTCCTCTCTGTAAAAAATCAATAAAATATATTTTTTTTTAAAAGTAAAGCTGTTTAGGAATTAGTTTTTATTTTTATAAAGAAATTATTTCTGCCAGAATTGGTTTGGCTCAGTGGATAGAGTATCAGCCTGCGGACTCAAGGGTCCCGGGTTCAATTCCGGTCAAGGGCATGTACCTTGGTTGCAGGCACATCCCCAGTGGGGGGCGTGCAGGAGGCAGCTGATTGATGTTTCTCTCTCATCGATGTTTCTAACTCTCTATCCCTCTCTCTTCCTCTCTGTAAAAAATCAAAAAAATATATTTTAAAAAGAAAAATTATTTCTTTCCAAAGCTGAAATATTTAAAAAATTATGTCTCTCTGGGGGCAAGGAGTATAATTTCAGGCTTGGTGTAAGACATGCCTCCCTATACCCACACTGTGTAACACAGGAAACTGATTCACACAACAGAAGCATTATACCTTTGATAAAATAGCTTAAATGTCTAGAGATTTTCTGAACATGAGCTGCATAGTATAAGAAATAAATACATAATAACATTTTTAAATGAAAATAAAATTTGTAAATGAGACATTTTAGGGTAATTAATG